GATGTTTTACAAATATTGTTTCTCTTTTTTTAATCCACTTTCTTCTCACAAAGACATTTTTTGGACAACAGGAAATAAATTGGACACAGGAAGATTCCCTAAAGTCTCCTCTTACTACTTTCATTTGAACTGTTACTCGAACTGACTACTTGATACAGTGTCTTTTATTTATACATGGCATGCAGACATAGTAGTAAATACAAGAATATGTGCAAATATTTAACAGAAAAATTCTAAAGTGTTTCACTTGAAGGGTATAACATTTTTAAGAATTTAATAACTATATACGCTCAAAAGTTGAAATTTTGCAGAGTAATAATTTGATATATTTTAAATGCTGTGTAATTTCTATTTTCTCTGTAAATTACAATTATATTTTATTTTAAGTTGATATCCACTCAGTAGGGATATTGTATCTTATTAACAAATTTTTAAAAGAGGTTTTTATTTTGTCTTAAATTGATTAATAGAATATATTTTATTAATGTGTCTGCTATAATTTGAATATCTAATTTGTTAATTTTACCAAATCTTAATTTATACATATTTTTAAATTGTTTATTTAAAAATACTACAAATTCTTCATGATGTCAATAGTTTTTGAAAATTTATGTAAAATATCATATAATGTAACAATTGTTTTAAGGAAAAAAGGTCAAGTGTCTCTGCAGAAAATAGCTTCTTACTATACAATAACACTCTTTTACTTTTTTAATTTTTACTTTAAACACAGCAAACATTTCTTACTCATTCTATGATTGTATAATATAACTGCTCCCATGAGTTGTTTATAAAACATTTTAAAATTAGGAAGAACTACAATCTTTTGTAGGGTAAATGATGTCACTGAAGATCAAATTTAGCCATTGTTAACACTAACTTCTGTTAATGCATTATCTTTCCAAGGACACTCCTAGCTATCCCAGAATTCTCTGCTGAAATTGTTTTAAATTGTTCTCATGTTTTTATGAATAACAATTTGTAGTTTGTTCTTTTGGTTTTCCAAGCTCTTTTTTGGCAAACTAATACTCATGTTACTAATAGTTTTTGAAAAATAGTGCCTAAGTTTTTCTATTTATAATTGTCCATTTTAATTTATTTAAATATATGTTTAAAAAACTGAGAACAAGTTAGTTTTTTTTTTTTCATAATATTCTAAAAAACTTATCTGAATTTAAAAAAAATTCTGTTTATATAAGAAAAAAATATTAAACTTGATTTAAAACTGATTCCTTGATTTTGATGGCAGATTTACTATCAACCTCCATAGAAAACCAATAATATAAATCTGGAAAATATGATGAAAAGCAACATTTAAAAACATACTGAAGCTATTTTCATGAAAATTTATAATATAAAAATAAAAATGAATGCACATAGCTTGTGGGCCATATATATAATATTTTGCTGAATCTATTATTTTGTATTATTCAAAATGTAGCTTAAAGAATGAATTTAAATTAGCTGAACTCCTATTTAATTTACCCCATACAATCAAACAAATTATTAAATTTTCTATGCAACAAGTAAAAAAGAAGAATAGTTACACTTAATTTTTAAAATATATTAATTTGGTTATTCTTGTCACTCTGATGCTGATAAAAATATGCATCCAACTGTTAACTGATATTCTTTCTTAAAGATTAATTTTAATCACATTTAAAATGATTTTGACTTTTACTTTTATAAAAATCTTTGCATAAATAATAAACAATTCAATTGTTCTTAGCAATTATTATGGCAACAACTTTAATTTTTATTATTGTAAGTAGAAAAATTACTCAATATCAATAACAAACCATTTAGCATTCCACTCAGTTTTTTCATGAGCATCATACTTTTAACTACAATTTTGTTTTTTTTTATTTGGGATAAGGAGCTTCAAATTAAATTACAGGAATTTAAAACTTTGTAGCTTTGGATAAAATTTGAATTCATATTTCATACCAAAGAGGCACTTCAGTGTGCTATAATGGTTAGCAAGCTTCTCTTGTTAGATCAGTTACAACTGAGTTTGATCCTCACTGTGTGCTCTACACTTTTGGACTTCTGCCACATTTAAGCTATGTTTAGAAAATTTTTGGACACTTCAATATCGTGTAATGGTTAGCAAGCTTGTCTCACTAGAATAATCACAACTGAAAAGTTTGATTCTCACTGGGTGCCCTACACTTTCAGCTTTGTGCCACATCTGAGGTATGTTTAGAAAATCATAGGGCATTTCAACATGGTGCAATAGTTAGCAAGCTTGTCTTGCTAGATCAATTATGACTGTATAGTGAGTTCAATCATTACTAGGTGCCCCATACTTTCAGCCTTGTGCCACATCTAAGCTCTGCTTAGAAAATCATCATATCTTATACCAAAGAATCTTGCAACACAAGGGGATACTGAAAAATTTGGGGCTTAAACCACTTCCCAAAATATGACCAAACATCAGAATTTGGGTGTGAGGAAAGTTTGTGGAGAGTTGTGCTGGATAAGTTGGTATTTATTTATCAGAAACATAGGACATAAAACAAACTGTGGTGGACGGTATAAACAAATAATATATATTTATTTATTTGATTTATATTGAAACGAGTCCTTTGATATTCAGTGTAGCAAAAGTTTGTTTATAAAGCAGATCTTGGTAGCAGTCGGGAAAAAGTCCATCTCAGTTCAGTAGGGGACAGTTTAGAAGTCAGACCTTGGTAGTAGTTTTCATCTTAGAAATAGATACAACATCAATCTGCTGTTCTTTCTCTTCTCTAGATGACCGACTAACTTCCTCACATGACATGCATGGCTGGTTTCTCAGATGGTCCCTTCTCATGTTTTTCTAGTGTCTCCTTTTCTTCTACCTCTGGGCTGTCAGTTTATATCCTTTTTGACAAGGCTCCCAGACCACTGGTGTGAAGCTTGGTTTCGGCTAACATCAAAAGTCTCTTAGAGTTAATTTTTTTGATTGGTCCAAATTTTTTTTTCTGGTGTTCCTTTCTTTTTTCATTTTTTTTATTATATAGTAGAAGTTATGTGTGGAGCCACTCTTATTTTGATATATTTCTAGTCACAAATGTCTAGACTCTGGTCCAGTAAACTTACGCCATTTTTCAGATGGGTTCAATATTTTCTTCTTCCTCTTTTTTATTTGAGGGTTGCCTTCTCCTTAGTTGAGAGAGAATTTTATATATATATATATATATATATATAAAGAGAGAGTAAAAGATAAAGGTTTTAAAGGAAAGCAAATGCCTTATTTTAATTTGAATTCTTTGTTTGTGTATATATTTTATTTTATATTTTTTTAACAGACCTCTGCCTCCTTGATTAAGATGAGAACTTTTATGCACACACACATACACACACACACACATATATATATATATATATATATATATATAAGCAAATTCACTGCAAGATGCATTATGCCAATATTTTATTTTTTATATAACCTTTAAATGGCTTTTTTTTCTTAAATTTCTGTGTAATGTAGGTAATAAATCACTTTAGAGCAGTGCTTACCAAATTAAGATTATTAGTTGTAGTGGGTTCAATTCTCATTGTGTATCCGACACTTGTAAACCTTTAAACATTTTAAATCGATGAGCTTCCATCTTATTTATGTTTTGACTTTTGAGGAAAAAAAAAATGCTAAATAAAAATTTTGTTAACATAAGAAAAACAAAAGAATGATGGCAAAAACAAGCAAATATTCACAATTCAAAAAATTTATTAAAAATAAAGGATGGTGGAATGCATAAAAGTCCATAAGCAATTTTTTAAAGGTAACAAATAAAAAGTTAAAGTTGTTTGCTAGACAGAAAATTAAAAAATGGTCACTTACTTTTTAAAAAAAAATAAAGTATCAGTATGCAACGTTTCTTCTGCACAAGCCACAAAGGCGATATTTACATACCTATTATTTTTTCTTTAGAGTTCACAATTCAAATATCTACAAAGAAAATAAATAAGGTTCATAAGAGTTCTTTCTGAAATAAAGAAATACACAATTTTCAATTTTTTCTCCAGATAGTTGAAGAATAAAGTTATCAGACTGCTTCTTTACTGAAGGTAATTCACTTCATAATATTCAGTGACTCTGTGGAGGTTGACCTAATTTACAGGTGATGTGGTCTTCTCTCTGGTGTCTCCTACACTTTCAACTGGACTAGCTTAGAGGTAGGTATTTTTTGTCTGTACTTCTCATTGGGAAGCAGGCTATTTTCAATGTTGTTTCAAAAGGAAAAACATATCTGTAGTCTTGATCTTCATGAAAATTCAGGCATCTATAGCTGGGTTTAAAAACTTGAATTGATGTCAACAACATATCCAACTTCATGGAGTGCAAAACTTCTTCAAATCAACTTCTCATAAAATATGTCACTTTCATGTCAGGAGAAGCTACAAAATAAGTAATGACATTTTTATTTAGTCTCAGCCTAAATAAATTTGGAATATAAGAATTCCTTCTTATTACCACTCAGTGGTATAAATAATGAAATGGTTTTTAACTCGGAACTTGTCTCAATTTCTTAGTTTTCAAAAAGTTTCTTCTATTTCAAAATATTCAACATAAAAAAATATAGGTCTCTCAATCTTTCCTGTCTAAAAACGCGCATATTTCACCAAACACCCAAGGGGCACCTGCACAGTAAAAAAAACAGTAACTTTCAAATCTAATCAAAGAGTGACAACCAGATAGTAACGTTACTAAAAATAAATTTCTTTACAAAAAAAAAAAATAACATTTATTTACATTTAAAAAAAAGAAACTCAAATTACTAAAAATAAAATATTGATCTGTTTTAAAATTAATTTCTTAAACCTAGTGCCAAATTAAGTTTGGCGAAAAGAGAAAAAGAGTTGAACTAGCAAGGGCGATAACCGCTTTAGTGTTTTACAAACCGGAAATTCAATGTTGCTCATCAAAGCAAATTCCTGGATTCAGTTTAATTCCCCTCGGTCCTTACTTGGAATAGAAAACTCTTTTTAATACCGACTTGACTGAAAAAATTACAATGCCGGTATGTAAAAACGTATTCATTTTCTATTTTGCAAACTTCTTTGGAAATAAGGATAACTTTTTAATTTTGAGGTTTCGATCGCGGTGCTAAGTTTTGTTCACTCTCCTCCCCACAAAATTCATTGATTTGAACTTCAATTTTTTTTATTATTATTTTTATTTGTCAAGTTCGATCAAAAGTGACTTTTTGTCCTTTGTTTTCTTTAACACTTCTTAATTCTACAACTGTCAGTAGAACTACAAAACCGTAAAAGAAAATAAATTGTATTTAATAAAAAATCCACACCCATTTTTTAACAATAACTCTCTGTGTAGTGTGTGTACTGTACTTAAAACTCGTGATAAATCGCATCTCTTTTCTGATTCAGTTGGTTTCTTTGCAATTTATTTTAAAGCTATGCTACTTTAATAAATTCACTTATATTTCAGATGAGATAGATTCAGTTATTGTTCTTTTACCGTTTGAACCACTCCTTTTTATTTTTAACATCCTTGTCATGTTTTTTTTTTTATTACTTTTTGGTTTTGCCTTTTTGGCATACTCTGTTGAACAGTTCTGTTAGAATTATTTATTATGACTTTTTTTTTGTTTTTGTTTTTTTTTTTTAACTAATAATATTCGCTTGAATTTTCAAAGGATACGTTCATTTTTTTAAATTAATTTCGATTCTCAAAAATAGACATTTTGCGTATAAAAAATAATAAAGGTTCTTTTAAGAAATATCAACTTTATCAGAGTTTTAGCTATTATTTTTAAAAACTTGGAAGAAAGTGGTTGGGTTTTTACTTTTAAGTCGTTGTTTCTTTTTTTTTTTTTTAAAGTTTAAAAATGTCAATCGGCTTCTAATGTTCATGTCACTTTTTAAAATGCTCTTTTTATATTTGCGATAATGAAAAGAACATTGTAATACCTCTTCCATAAATTTTGAATCGCAAAATAATTACCGTGTGAGGCAATTATAGAAATAACTGACAAATACCAGTCTTAGTAAAAAAAAAAAAAAATTGTGCCGGTATATTGATCAGATGATTACATTCAAACTCCAAAGTGTGATGGTCCATTATTTATTTATTTTTTATACCTCGCCACTTTTTCGTTTCAATAGCTTAACTTCATAAAAAAAAATTCTTTTGCATCTAAAAATGTTTTAATAAGGCTGTCATTTTTGGTTTATTAAAAAAATTCCCTAACAACTTTCCCACAGCCTGTTTTAAAAAAGAAAATAAAGAGATAAACAAACAAAATCGCCCTTGTCTACAAAACTTTTAAATTTCTTTAAAAAAAAAAAACTGCTCTTACAACTGCGATTAATTAATAAATTAACTTCTTTAATTTACTTTTAATATATTAGAACCTCAGAATTAAACAAATTTACTTACTTTAAATAAAAACATTTTTTTAGGTGGGTAACTAAAAAAGTGTACGTAACTGTGGATTCAATTTCAACATAACGTTTTGTTTTGTTTTTTACAAACTTTAAAAAATGCCTGAAAAAAAAAGAAATTTCTTGTGATAATTAACTGCACCGTTTCTTTATTTATTCTTTTCATAAAGTCGATTCAAGCGCAGAATTCCTCTTCTAAAAAAATTATATGTAGCATAACAGTTAGTTTTATCGCAACACATCAAAGCCTCAACAAAAAGGAGGAGTGTCACTAAAAAATGTTGTCCTGTAGTGTAAAGTAAACAGTAACATGGAATTATTACACATAAGAAAAGTTAGTTAAAATTTGTGTTAAACTATTTTTTAATGGTCACTTCTTAGTTTCTTTTCTATACTAAAAAAACAAAAAAATAGCTATCTTGAATGCATTATCTCTCAAGTCTCAACGCATTTTTTTTTTTAACTGAAAATGAAATTAAGTTGTTCCAAGCATCACTTCCAGTAAAGCATTGACAAGCCAACCACAAGTTTTTAAAGTAGGAAAATCTACTGCAAATTATTAACTAATTATCGAAATTCAGTACAATTTTCGGCGCAAAGTTTAGGGTACTTTTAAAGGAAAATTTTTTAAATATTTTAGTCAACTGCCCCCCTCCCCCGTTAAAAGATAAGTTTTGAAATAATTTTTATTTAACCTTTTAATTATTTTTATTCTTCACCTCTCATAGCACAGAGTGACGTCGTCTTTTGGTAAAACGCTGAAGATATTGCACAATAAACATGCAAAGAATAAGCGGATTAATTAATTCTTCTCGTTCACTCCCTCATTTGTACTCCTTTGAATCTATAAATCTGGGTTGATTTTATGATTTTCAGTAATGGGTCGTAGTATCAACCACTTGTTAATCAGCTGGCTGATGTGAAGAAATTTTGAATAAAAAATAATAAAATCTAATTAAATTTAAGTTTTAAAACTGCTGATTTTGTTGGCTTCTTCATAGGAAAGTAAGAAAAAATAATTGAATGAAGCAGACGATCTTAGAACTAAGAAAATATAAGACCAAAATATAAAGTTCACAGATAAAATCTTTAACACAAAAACAATTTCATGCATATTGTTCCATATGCTAATAATAGCAACAACAAAACAATAAAAAACAAAAAAGGATTTACTACTTTACTTACATAAATAATTTTTGTCAGTCTAAAAAGAAACTAGAAAGTATTATTCTTCAAACTGACAAATTTAAAAACATCTTTTTTTTTCTTTAACCTTTCTTTTTTCTTTTTTTTTTTTTTTTACAAAGTAACTTTTATAAATGTAAAAGAAAAAGACAATAGGAAAACTAATTATTAACCGACGCGTTTCGTCCAATGTGGACTTTTTCAAGGAAAAAACGAAATGAATTTATTAAACAAAGTAATTAATAACTAACAAAACAAAATGTCCTTAGCAACTGGAAGAATTTAGAGAACACTAGTATATTCATACTGTTAGTTAACTGAAAATTACGTCAAGTACTGTCGCGTGTGAAGATATTGTTTTTATTGTTGTGTTGACGGATTCGACCATTTTCTTTTGATTTTTCTTGAGGTACGTTTGCTTAGGAGAGTAGTAATTAGGAAAGGTGAAATAGGTAAAAAGCCTGGGCGTAGATTAATATTTGGATAATATTCAATGGCGGCACTCTCGAGGATTTTCCTTTTGAGTGAGTTATTTTCTTCTTTTTTTTTTTTTTTCTGAGTGTAGCATTTTTAAAATCAAATTATTTCTATGTATGACTATGCATTAGTTAAGTTGTTTTTTTGTGAAGTCTCTTTTGTGCTCATAAATGTGATTTTTTTTTTTTTTTTTAAATAATAAAACACAAGGCCTAGGCTAAAAGATCTAATTTCAAGATAAATATCTATTTAAAATATTCTTACTTTAGAAAACCTTACTTTAGATAGAGAATGAGAATGGTGCAGAATTCCCCAAATGACTCTTGCAAAAAAAAAAAAAAACGTTGACTCTCTGAGTCAATACGATCAAATCAAAGGCAATAATTCCTCTTCTTGGGAATAAAATTACCTCTTCCAAATAAATGTCTCTTAGACAAACTTGAAATAAATCTCAAACAAAACTTATAAGTCGCAAAGTACCTTTGTTATTTATCTTTAACAAACATCTATATTTGCGTCAATACCTCAATAGGCCTTATAAGACAAATCAAAATAAAATATCACTTTTCTCAAGTTATATTTAAACAAATTTTAGCTTCGGAATTCTACCGAAGTTAATAAAAAATCTTTTCTACAAAGTCACTCGATACAAAACATTCACCATCTCTTCTTCCCGTCCCTAAATAAAATCAGATAGTAATTAAAAATAGTTATAATTTAAATCTAAGGAAAATAATTTGACACTGTAAGTCGAACATTCAAGTAACATGCTATTTTATGTGTTAAACTAAATTGGAGCCAGAATACAAAGCGTATTAATTGACCAATAATAATTTTCTGACTGAGGATAATATTCTCTGATTAAAAGGAGTCGCCGTCTGCAGCTTCCCCTTCCAAAAAAAGAGCGGCAACAAAAAATTATCATCTGTTTTGCCGTCAGACATGTATCATTTAAACTATCAATACATCAAATATTCTATTACTGAAGTTATTGAAATGTCTTCAATATAGATATATATTTTAATATTCTAAATTTTTGCAAATAAAAATTTCCAAAGATGCTTTTTAAACTGAAGTGACTAGGATGTAGTTTCTCGTCCTTTCAATATATAGTTTAATAAGGGAGATAATCAAAATGAATAGGATGGGCATACAACACCACCGAGATATGATCGTGGTATGCACAATTGCCCATCGTATTCATTTTTGGAATATATTTTGGTAACAGTTATCGGTGCGAACTGCATTCAAATTCTGGTCTAGTCGGTTGTGTTTACTTTTTGTACTAATGACCTTGACAAAGAAATGAATCTATCTACCTCTAAGTAAATAAGCAAAGTAAAATGGGGCTTTCTCACTTTGGGTTGCAGCCTGTCTAAGAAAAGGACTGCAACACTGAATTCAAGACCATGAGAGACGACAACAGGAAACCATTCCACTATCTCCCTCGAAGTAATTGCAATATTTTTGTTTTTGTTGGTGGGGGAGGCATGATTATCTACATCCTGAAGATACAAGGCATTTAAACAAATCAAAAGTTGTAATTACTATAATTAATAAATTATTTAATGTTCCTTTTACAGTTTAATTTCAAATCATTTAGTAAAAGAAAATCGGTTATCTTTAACAAAAAAACAAAACAAAAATGCCTCCTTGATTTTGTTAAAATTTAAAACCTTAAGACTTAATAACTAGATAAACGAAAATAAATCTTTAAAAAGAATTTTTTGTCTTTCACAAACTAAAAGTATGGTATTCAATACATTTAAAAAATAGCTAAAATAAAAAATGTTTTCAAGCAATATAGAATATTTTAGTTTCATTTCAGTTTGGTTCACGTTTATTTTCTACATATCTGGAAATTTAAAACAGTTTCGACTGATTTCTCTAAAAACTTTAGAGAAATATTTTTGGTATCAAAAGGATATTTTGTGATAAAAGTAAATATGAAAGTGTGGTAAATGGACTTTTCAAAAATAAAATTTTCTTGTTTTGTACATTGGGTTCAAATTATTTTCCTATAAGAATTTTCTTCAATCTTTCTTATTGTGATCAAATATATATTGTTTATTTTTTTTATCAATATATGTTTTGTTTTCAAAAGTGCATGAGTGTACATTTTGATAAATATATATCTGTTATAAATTTCTTTTTAAATCAAATGATCAACTCATAAAATCTCTTGTCTACCTCTTTAGTAGTATGTGTCTGTTTTGGAAATATTGATCTAATGAGTAAGTTTTACTCCTTTTTTCTTCTTCCTATTATGACATATGAGCAAATGGCATTCATTAGCTGACAAACCACCTATCTACATGGAAGGTAAATGCTAGTTACAAATCACCTACTCTTACAACTATTTTAGTGGTACTCAAAACATTTTGTTACTAATTGCTCTGTATATTTTACATGCATTCTGTCCTTCCATCTTTATAATGTGGACAATATTTGAGTAGCCATCATCATTAGTCATAAGTTAGAAATAGCCATGTACAATTATACCTACCAATTTTACTCTCTTAAAGTAATATTAGTTGTGCTACTTATTCATGTGTTTACAATCATTGTCTACAGAAAACATTTTAGAGCAAATTGAAAATTCTTGTAACAAGAGGCATACAATTATTTTTTGTTTTTCCATTTTTGTGTTGATATATGTTCACTTGAATTTAAGTATTGTAATTGTTTTCATTCAAAAAATGGATTTGTAAAGCATGTTGGAAAAGAAAAGTGCATTGTTAAAGAATAAGAGAAATTTAGTCAAAATATTTTTGCTAGTTTGAAGACTAACAACCAGAGCCAGTGCAAGGGTTTTGTGTCCTCCCACTACCAACCAAATCTATGATACAGAGCCCCCACTTTACTACCTTTCAATTTTCATTAGTATTCATATAAGATATAAATTTTATTGTAACCTTATGTACAATTATGGATCATATGCAATATAGGTAAACAATTCAACTAGAACAATGTTTTGTGGCAATTTTTAACATCAACTTAAGATTTTTCTTGTTAAAAAGTTGAATTTTAACAAATTCAATATTATTGATAAAAAAATAGTGATTTTTTTTTTATAAAGTGTTTTTTTTTTATGACTTATCATGAGCAAAACAAATTTGAACAAAAAATGACCCCAGAATAACATCAAAATGCACATAAATCTTTTGTCCTTTAATAGTTATGCTTACTTTACTTTTTATTTTATTTTACTTATTTTTTTTTTCTGAAAAATAAAAGAAAGAAGCAATGCAATGTTTTGTGATGGAAACAAAAACTGAAACATTAGCAAAGTAAACTGCATATATTGAATACTAATGAGTATTTTTCCAGAATTACTTTCATTGATATTGTTTGTATAGTTACAAATTTGGAGATAATTCTTTATAATGTATAACTTTTGTAAAAGCTAAGTCAGTAAATTATGTATCATGCTCTAGGATACAAGTAGTGTAGTCAACAAAAACAATTCTCCATAGTTTTGGTTAATTATTTAGGTACAATTAAAAAAAAAACAAAAAAAAAAACATTTTGGCAAAAAGGATATATTTAATGAACATTTTAAATTGTTTGTTTCATTATCATGGGTGCAATTCCATTAAATATTTATTTATCTTCCAGGCTTACCATTCTACTATTCCACATACTAAAACTGTGGGTAACATGGCTTTGTTACCCCTTAAAACACAGTACAAGGGGCCAGCTCCTAAAGAGAGTGAGTATTTTGAATTTTCTATTCTTAGATGTATAAAGTGGAGCAATGGTTAATGGAATCTGAAAATAGTTTGAATTCTGGCTAAAAGTGATAATGTTCATTTACTATTGATGTCCCTGGGAAAGGCATGAATCCACTCTTTCCCTTGCTTTGAGTAAATAGCAGAGCAGTTGGAGCCTTTTAGTCCCATAAAGCAATCCAGTTAATGAAAAATCTACAGCTTTACAGTCAACTATAATCTAGTTGAGAAAAAGGATGGTTGGGTATCAGGCCAGCAACTTGGTTCAGTAAAAACCTGCAACTGTTACAGAAATAATGTATAAATCTCCAATGAACAAATCCCATATCATTCAATGGAAGCAAAACATTTATGAAAAAGTTCATAAAAGTTTCTTATTTTAAAAAAAAAAAAAAAAAAGAAAGTGTCAGTAGTTTTATATGAACCTGAACAAAACCAAATTGCAAACATTGAGACAAACAAATGGCATTTTATAATGTTGTCTTGTAATTAGTGCATAATATATATTGTAAAATTAAACTATAATCTTGATTTTCATACATGTTATTTGACAACTGTCGAAATTGCTACATGTAACCATAAGTCCTATGCTGACAGTTTCTTCTCTTATATTTCTTGATTTTGGGACTCTCTTCCAGCTTCTTGCTTACCTGTCAACTATGATCTTCACAAATTTATATGCGAAAACCTTTTTCATCTTCAGTATCCTTGAATCCTGTACTGTTATTGTCCTCACTACTAGAGTTTTTTTTTTTTTTTTTTTTTTCAGATTATTTTATTCTCAGTAACTCCTTGTGTCTTACTGGATTTATTGCCTTGCTTGAGGTGAAATGATTGAAAAAATATTTGTAAATCTTATAGAAACTTTTCAAAAAGTTATTTCCAAAGTTAAATGATGTCAGTAAATTCCAAATTTAAACTAAAAAAAGTGACACTGACAACAGAGTAACAAGATCTTTTTAATATGCTTTGACTTATTTGAACTATTGTTGCCTTCTTTGATTGTTATTGATATTATTATAGATACTATCCTTCTGTACTGAAGGATATTAGGGGTGTAATTTTTTTCATTGCAGCCATTAACAATTAAATAAGAGAACAATAGTTCAAAGAAATAAAATAAGTCAAAGTATATTGAGAGATCCTGATCTCAAAAATTAAACAAAATTATCAAAAAGCAGTATGAACCTTCTGTGATAACCAAATGTTGAGACCATCTGAATTTAAAGGATTCAAAAAATACATCACTGATGTTATTTGGAGCACTAGCATAGTGGATATAGGCACTGGTTAATCAAATATTGTTGTCATCTAGTGGTTGTGAGTTCAATTATTTGATCAGGTAGCTAAAGTAGTCTGGTTCAAAAAGAATGAACAAAAAATATAATACAATAATCAATACATATCTCAACGAAAATAAAACACCAGAAGAGGCCAAAACTTGTTTTGATCTTTTTTAATGTAATAATCTTTCTTTTTTTAAGTTTTTAGTGCTTTTTTTTGATATTTAAACAAATTTTTTATTGTTTTTTTTTATTACTTTTTTATTTTCATTTAATATTTTTTTTAGGTGACAAACCAGATATAATAGATGAAGCTATTTATTATTTCCGAGCAAATATTTTCTTCAGAAACTATGAAATTAAGGTAAGCATTGACTTTGATATTTTTTTAGCTAAAGATCTTTAATTGATGACATATTTTGCATATTCTTGGTTGAACTTTTCTATAGATTTAGCTTTAAAAGTTTAATAGGATAAAAGAAATAAGGTATTACTGCAGTATTGATGAATTAAGACTGGATAATCCTTTCTTGAACAGTAGTTTGTTAAAAGATAGTTCTAACTAAGATTACAGAAAATTTGTCACAAAACAATTGTATATTTTTAGTATTATTTGAAAATAAAACAAGAATTTATAAATTCATTTTTTGTTAAATAATTATCCGCATTGTGTTTATAAATATTTGATATTAATTAAAGTATTACAAACACAAATTCCTGCTTTGTTCAAAATGAAATACTTGTTTACCAAAGGTAACAACTTTGAGAATTATAAAGAAATTGATAGTGAAATTCAGTCACCAATTTAAAGATGAAGTGTGAAACAATTTCACAAACAGGACAACTTCCTTCCAACAGAAATGTATCAATTTAATAAACAAATTGTTGTTCTTTAATGAATAGATTAATTGATGTCACATAAGCAAATCAATTATGATTTGCAGCTTCAAATATATTCCTTCTATTTTGGCTATGAGACATGTAGTCAATGCATTTATATAAATTCTTCTAGTCTTTTTTCTTGTAACATATGCATTATCTGTTTTTTGATATTTGAAGTCTTCCTCAAATTGGTATATTGCTACAAACTATGATTTAAGACTAACAATATTTAACATTTTCAATTATTTGGAATAATATCAAAATAAAGTGTAATTTCTTTAAACCTTTTTACTTAATCTTTGTTTCATTCCCCTCTACATTATGATTTTTTTTTCTTTTTAATTTATATTGTAGAGTGAAAGTGATCGTACCTTGATTTATATTACACTTTACATCACAGAATGCCTCAAAAAACTTCAAAGGGTAAGTATGACTAGTTTTGGTAGGGCTGAACAAATTATTCTATTACAAAATTTCTTGACTGACCAAGATATGCGACGCAGAATTATTTCCCTTGTTTCCTAGTTTGTTTTCCATTTTTCTTTTCTTTGAAAGACAATTCCTTTTTAAATAGGTTTGGACCAAGGAGATCCTTATATTAACGATTGCTTTGGGTTGAACACAAGAGCACCTCATCATCGACTAAGCTTAGTAAATATTTTATAGGTTTGACTCTGGGACTAGTTTTGTGTGTGTGTATATATATATATATATATATATATATATATATATGTATGTGTGTGTGAAGAGTCTTAAGATGTGCTATATTTATGAGATAAAGTGCTCAATATCAGAGATAGTGTGTGTAAATATAAAAGTGAACATAGAAGACAACACTTAGAGGCGACAGTCTGTTTCATGCCAGATGCAATCGTCAGGCCATATATATATATATATATATATATATATATATATATAATAAGGTACCTCCACTTGTTGCTGCAAAAACAGCATAGCATGATAAAAAAAGGCCCAAAACTTAATAAAAACAAAGTTTTATCATCAAAATGTTTATTATTAAGCGGAAAGATCAAAGTACTTTTTAATTTTATTAGATTTTTTAATCCTTTCTAGCATGTTTGAAATTTTGGCTAAAAATTTTTTTATTTTTTTTTTATTTATTTATTTAGTTTTTTTTTTTTTTTTTTTTGCATCAGCAGTCAATGGAATATTTACAATTAGTGTTTTTGTGCTTTTTCTCAGGTGATTTGGAAATTCTTGCAAAAATCAAATAATTGTCAAATTTTAATGAAACTTTCAGTACTTATTTACAAATGATTTAAATTATTTTTTAAATTTTTATTTTTAGAAAATCTTGGTAAAAAATTTTTTTTTTTTTTTTTTTTTTTTTATGTGTTACACCCCCCTCCCACTTAATTTCAGGAAATTAAGTTTCAATCTCAAAATTTGTTTTATTAGTTAAAAACAGGACTCCTTGAAGAATGTAAATCATCAATTTTAAAAAAAAAATTTTTTAAACTACTGCACATTTCCTGAACATCTGCTCTAAATTGTAAAATTGCAATAAAACTGACATTATTGAAAAGCTTTTAATTGCTTTTATAAATAAGATTTATTAAGGACACTATTGTCTTAAGAAAAAAATAATTTTATGAATAATGAATTTTTACAAGAACTGTTTTCATTTTTCTTTTAAATTTTAATTATAATTTATAATATATGAAACATTTAAAATTCTACATTACTTCAATCAGGTTAGGTGATATTGTTATTAAGTGAAAACTATGTTTATTAATCGAAAACTGAAAAGTTTAATACAGAGTATTTTGTTTCAAGATTTTTAAAATTATTTTTATGTATATAAAATATTGCATAATGTACACCTGTTTGAAAGTATGGTTGACCATACACAACATAATCAGAAAAGTGATGACTATAGTAAATTTAAATTCAACATTCGTAAAATTAGATTATGGAGAATATTTTCCAACATTTATAAGATCACTGAGTACTTAAAAATTATATAAAAAAGGCATTTACCCATCATTTTCTTAAATTATGTTTTAACAGATAAAGTCTCCATAGAACAATAAATAAATCTGCCAATATCTTATCAATGCCTGTTAAGTGATCTACTAGTGACAAGTCAAGTGTGTAATCACTGCTATTGTTTGTTTTAAAAATTCATTTCTGTTATTTTAAAGTAAATAGTATTTTTTTAAATCAGTTAATATTCCTCAAATAAAGTTTCAGAAAAGGGTGTTTTATTTTTGTAAGATTTTTAAAACCGAGAATTAAATTTTTACAAATATGTCAAAAATGGCTTAATTTAAATGATTTCTGAAAGCAACCAAAAAGTTGACTCCAATCAATATAATTTCTAGTTGAAATACTCTAAAGTATTTTGCATACTGGAAATAGTAAATTTAATCATTTAGCTTTCAATTAAAGCTAAAAAGAAAGCTTCAAGAATGCTTTTTAATTTTTTAAAATTCCTTTTAAACTTAGGCATTGAAAATTCAATGGAGGTGCCTAATAAAATATATATTGTTTTTTTCCTTGTGTAAAAATTCTGTTTCAATCAAAATAACCAAACTCAAAATTATTTATTTCTTTTTTAAACTACCAAGGCAAGAAATAAGTTTGCTGATGTAACTTTGTTAGACTTGAATAAGTAACCACAACAAGAGTCAGTTATAAAAGATTAATTTTGGTTTATAGAGAATTTGTTTTTTTGTCTTAATTACAACATCCCACAGGATTAAAACATATATGGTTCCCTGACAGTTGTGAGTTCAATCACAATGTTGGGTAATGCTGAAAAGTCATATACTTTGGTTAAATGGAAAAGGTAAATAAGTGACCAGTGATAAATAAACTAGAGAGATCTAATATGAAATATCCTCTAAGTACAGAACAATCTACCTATGTAGATTAAATAAAGTGTTTGGTCCAAAATTTCAACATTACTATGTACAATAGACACCTGAAGAAGGCCAGAGAGCACAACAGCTGAAGTATAACAACCAAGATGAGCATGCCATTCCAGAGAGAAAGGCATACAATATGTATCAAGCATTTAAAGGAGAGTAATCAATCTGATTTGCTGAAAGCATTTATCTTTACTCTGATCACTTTTGTACTAAAACTCTTAAGGCATAACTCTAACTTTCTGTACTATTTTTTTTTATCAGTCATTTTATGATTATGATACTGGTATGCCAAATTGATATATATAAAGGTATCCATTCTTTTATGATTACCTTCATAGGCAATAAATTTACTTAGGTCCACTACATTCATATATCTGTCACATTTAATTGTACAAAAAGTTACTTATGAAAAAAAATTTGTAACCAAGTATTGGATATATTTTTCCCTATTCTAGCAAAGATCAGATTCTTATAAAATTTATATCAGTTTGTACATTTATTTTTTTAAATCTTTTCATCTAGTGCACTTCTAAAAATGCTTCCCAAAAGGAAATGTATACTTTGGCTTTGAAAAACTATCCAATCCCTGGTGATCCAGCATTTCCATTGAATGCCCTATATGCAAAGCCACAGAAAGGAACGGAAGAAGGTAAGCTTATATATGGCTGGGTGCATATGTCAGTTGCATATAGTAGTTCAAGGCTGAGAGCTGCAGCACAGTATTTACTCAGTAGGAAGTGATTTAGATTAATTTTTTTGAGAGAAGATAGATTATTTCTCTCTAGTGGAACATCAATATTCTGTTTAGACTTGTTGAAAATTACTGGTGTTAAGGTAGGGAATGAAATTCCTTTGTGATCTCATGTACTACATGACATCAGGGTTTTAAAAATTATTTAAATATAATTATATTTAAAAAAAACTTGCTGACTCTTATTATACTAGAGTTTGACAAAGTAGAAAATCGGTAATATCTGAGTTTTTTTTTTTTTTTTTTTTTTTTTTTTTGTATTTAAATTATCAGAAAAGAGTTACAAATATTTTATTAGAGTGGTATGTGTGAATATCTCAAGGAAAGTGAAGAGTAGATTATTATAGTTAGTGCAAAGTTTATACAGGTCTGAAAATATTGTCTATCTCATTTCAGTAAATGCTAATTGTAAATATAAAATTTAAAATTCTCTGTAAATATCCATATCTATCTATCTCTCTATCTATATATATATATATATATATATATATATATAACTTTTACAATTCAGTTTATATCATTTTATTTGTTGAGAACTAAAATTTAATTTAAAATCAATAAAATTAAAAATATTGAACTATTTTGGAAAAAAAAATCTGCAATATTAGTCGAGTTATACTCGAAAAATTGTTTCGCCTATCTACTGGAGATATATATATATATATATATATATATATATATATATATATATATATATGTGTGTCATATAAAACATCAAAAATCTTCATTGACAATTTTATAATTTTTCAAACATTTGACCCGCCCTCAGGAAATTTATAACATTGTTTTAATGGGAAAGAAACAAAATTAGGGGATCAGTTTCTCAAGCAAAGAAGAGAATAATTTACAGCATACTTTCTTCAAAATACATATTTATGCTTTAGATGACAAAATAGAAAGTACATTTGAGCAAACTTTATTGCTAGCTAATATGCATTTGTGATGGGGATTTGTACTTAGATCTTTATTATATATTATTTCATTTTAGAAACCATGCGTCAATATTTACAACAACTTCGTCAAGAGACTGGATTACGCATGTGTGACAAAGTTTTTGACCCACAGACAGACAAATCAAACAAGGTGAGTTTTATTCTGAGTTAAATTTAATGTCAAATTGTGTTCTATGAGGTTGCTCTTTGAAATATTACTTCTTTTAGAAATTTATAAAAAATTAAAAATTTATTTACATAAAATTGTTTTTCATTACTTGAGGCTTTAATATTTTTATACTTTCATGTTAACAGCAAATTCACAGAAACTTGTGGAAGAAAAATTATCACCCATTTAAGATGAGATCTGCTTATGTTATTTCTGAAGAAAAGTTATCTAAAATATAGTTTGGGATAGAATAGTTTATGAGATTACCTTAATAAAATGAAAGTATAAATTTGTGTTTACTCAAAATAAAAGCAGTCATTCCCAGAGTTGTTTGAACTATTGACCTCATTTAAATTTTTTCTTTTCTTGTGATCACATCCTATGATGTTCTTCAAGTATACAATGAAAAAAAAGGTTTTGTGTGTGTGTTTTTTTTTGGGGGGGGGCAGTAAAGCAAATTTAGGAATGGTGACCAAAAGAAAAAAATAGTGGCAAATATATTGATTGGATCAATCCATTATGCAAAACAAGGTCATTCCATTTTTCATACAATTCTTGAAATGATTTATAAAATTAGTCAGTTAAAAACAATTATATTCCAAAACATTAATTCTTGTAAATACATTTTGTGAATAAAACTCTTGCATGAAACTGTTTATTCTGTAATTTTTTTTTCCAGTGGTGGCTGTGTTTTGCCAAACGAAAGTTTATGGATAAGAGTCTTGCTGCTCCAGGACATTGA